ACAACTACTACTACTACTACTACTACTACTACTACTACTCCTGCTGCTGCTACTACTCCTGCTGCTGCTGCTACTACTACTACTACTACTACTACTACTACTACTATTACTACTACTACGAGGACGACACTCCTACTACTACTACTACTACTACCACTACTACTACCACTACCACTACCACTAGTAGCAGTAGTAGCAGTAGTAGCAGTAGTAGTAGTAGTAGTAGTAGTAGTAGCCCCTCTACTACTGCTACTGCTACCACTACTACTACTACCACTACTACTACCACTACTACTTCTACTACTAGTGCCACTACTACTACCAGTACGACTACTACTACCACCACTACTACTCCTCCTCCTCCTGCTGCTGCTGCTACTAGCCATCCCTCCCTACAAAACACCTGGCGTATAAACTCATCATCATCATCATCACCATCATCAGCGTTGGTATTGGACTAAAACATCACGAAAGTATTTTAAATACCAGAAAAATGGATGTGCTTTCAAAAGTATCATCATGCCCCCCGCCCCCCACCCCCGCACCCCTCAACAGCGGACTACGACATCACGAAAAAAGCTGTTTAAAAGAGGTGGTTGGAGTGAGGGTGCTATAGGGTACAAGAACGATATCCCACTTGTCTCTTCAAAGCCAAGCACTTGGCAGCGGCCCCCTACGATTTGCTTGCTGTCTCAAGCGCATGGGCCCACACGATTTGCAGGATGTTCTAAAGTTCATGGGCATCGAGCTGGTTTATCTGTCTATCTACTGGCTGCCTTTTCAATTGAGCCGCTTCACACCCGAGGAAAGTCGCACAAAAGCAGATCAGCAATCCGGCAACATCCCGCCTCAAGCTCCTCAGCTGTTTCTGGTTCACTCGGCCATCGAAGCACCTCGATGCGCCTGGAATGTGATTCCGGCGGCCGATGAGAATCGATCACAAGGCTTCACTTGCCTCGTAATTTGCCTTCTGTCTTCTTTGGGCAGAGAGGCCACGACATCCTCTGCTTCCTGCGAAGTCAGGTGGGATTGCCAAGCTCTCACAGGCGTACCAGCAGAGATCCTTGAGGTTTCGCTTCGCGGAGCGCCCGCTCTCTGTACGCAACGTCTGAGCTTTCTCATGAACCTGCCGCGAAAAGTAGGGGAAGGCGGAAAGGCTCAAGGGACAGGTCTCCCATCCTGCAGAGCTATTTCGAAGGCGTGAATGGCTCCGGCCAGATCACCGGTTGCACGACGACTGATGCCATATTGACCGACCTGCACAGCACAGGCACAGCAAGTGCAACTTGCTCTTCGTTCTACTACGAGTATCTGCTGCTCAGTCCGCTGATGCGGAAGTGCCGCGTGGCGTGCGCCAGAAGCTGTGCTTGGAGAGGGGCTCAGGGTGAGAGACTCATTTCATTGAGTTCACACAGGCACAGCCCCTGGGCCTGGGCCTGGGCCTGGCACTCTCTTTTGGGCTGGGGCTCTTCGTGGGAAAGGGCCGGGCAACGGCACTAAGGGCTATGTGCCCGAAGAGCACTCCCTCCCCCTCCATCCCCCTCCCCTGTGCTAGGGCGTGCCTTTGCAGAGCTCTCTGCAGTTGACCTGTTAGTCTCGCATGTTGCCTATGCTAGCTGCTAGTACATTTCTTGTTGTGGAAATATTCGGCGTGGTTGGATGTGTGCAATACATTGGTCGTGGATGCGGCCCCCTAACTGTGCTTGCTTCTTTGCCTATTTTGAAACCTGGACACGTTTAGGAATGTTGTGTGACGGGTCGCTGACGGCTGTTGGTAGCCGCACCGTCCAGCCCTCGGCGCTGGTGTCACACGTGCACCTCTGCGCTTGGCCGTCTGTGCTTGCAGCTTCGCTCCAAGGGCACTGGCCCACCCACTGGACCAGCTGGAGTCTTGTTCATGGTGGATGCTTGAAGTTGGTGAACCCTCCATGCGTAAAGATTGCATTGCCTGCTTACTTCTGTTCGTGCTTTCGACACGTTCCTAACCATACCTTTTCGTAACCTCTTGTTCCATATCACCCGACTCTTATTTGCACTAGCTAGTTCCCCACCTGAAGTCTGTGACTGTGACCGAGGGGGGCGATGGCCTCCGCTGGAGAAGGGGAAAAGGACGAGCACTCACAGGCACGCCTCCTTCTGATCCCGACACACCAGGAAAATGGAGGAGGATGGAAGGAAGGAAAGAGAGTGCCCCCAGTCCAGCGTCACGGAAACCTCCATGTCTCTTCCACGTCTTCACGACTGCACAAGTCGTACTTTTTAGAACGGAAGGGGGCAGGTCTGTGCCTGCGACAAATGTGATTTTACCCCTCCTCCGGTCCTTTCCATGCTTGCGAGGCGGCTTTCGCACATGCTCACCCGCGCGATCCTCCGCGCCCAGTTACAAGAATGTGGAGCGACAGCGAAGGTAGAAGTCGGAACGAGACATGCCGCGGATACTGCACTCTCCGATCAAAAAACTGAGCTCGGAACATAATGCGAGCGCATTCTGGATTGCAGCTTCGGGTTTTGAACAAAGACGCGTTCAGCCTGGCGCATCAGCAAAGCTATATCTTGAAACTGCAGACTCGCGATGATGCGTACCTCCAGGAAGGCTTCACGGCCTGAGGCCCACCAGGGCTTATTAGTGGAAGGAGACTTCACTGGAAGTGCAAGAGAGCCGCCACCCTCTTTGTCCCCGAAGTCTGTTCTGCTGGAAGCCAGCTCGTACCTCTCAGTTGACCGATATGTTCCCGAGCCAACGCAAGAGGCTCAACTTCGCCAAATCAGGGCGCAATATGCTCGTGAAGGTCTCTGTGTGGGTCATCTTCAGACCACGGTAAGTGGCCACCGCCTGTCAAGATATCAAACCCTCTACTTAACATTGTTTGTAGAACTAATAACGATTATTTTGTCTTGTTTTTCAACAAAATTACACAGCATCTGAAAGCGCAGAGTTGAGCGAGCCTTCTCATAGCTCGCCAGCTCACCTTGAGAGCTCACTGCTGTTCACGCTCCAGGCAGGTGCTGCTTGGGCTTGACTCAGCTCTGAGCGATTTCTGTCCCCTTGCTGCCCAAAGACCACTCCCATATTGTGCACCTGACATCACTGGATGCCAATCACAACATTGCAGCGCTTCCCAGACTGCAGGCTGCGGCAAGAATCGCATACCAGTGCGAGTTCTGCCGGTGCAGTTGAACGAGAATCTGCTCTGCCTCACAGAAAGCCGGAAAGCTGTCAAATGACACTATACACATACGCGATCTCGCCGGGCTCGCCTTCTCGTAGTACTGCATGATTAGCTCTGAGTCCTGCAAAACTATGAACATCCGTATTTCCTCACAGTAAGGTAAACAGGCTCGGCCGAACGCAAGTCCTGCTCGGCTTGCTTAGAAAGAGCGACACCAACCTGGAATTCACATTGGACCATGCCGGGTTGAAGACAGCGGACGTCCGACACTACAGGGCCGCAGGCTCTAATGAGAAGCTCTCCGTGACGGACGCTATCTGTGCACGCGGTAGCCAGGCAAAACCGCAAGCAAACCTTCAGGCCGGTGTGCAGCACAGCTTGCATCCGTTGCGGCAATGCTCCCATCTCAAGCTTGCGATCTTGCCTCCCAGATCTTGAGCTCCAACTCTGCATCGTTCATGGAGATGGCACCCTCGGATTGCTGTGAAAGCTATAGAACAGACCTGGGGGGAATCTTCCTGCATGGATTAGATATTAGATAACATTGCCATTGTATAGAATATAACACTGCGCTGTATACTGTCTTACACTATACACTATACACTGTACACTATACTACTATGATACTGCGGTAGGACGAAAGTTCGTCGCACTCTGCATGTCGCTACTGAACACGGCAAAAACCCTTTTCCCCTTAGACTCCTGCACCAAGTCCTCCCTCCGTCCGGAACATTATAGTCATTCTGGCAGTATAATTTTATTCCCTAGGGGATTAATTCCTTCGCTAGCCAGGCCACGCAAAATGCACTTGTAAGTACTCCACTTCCTCCGCCAGATGGTAAAGGCGACGAAACTTTAATCCTGCTGATGCATACTATGCTATACTATACTATACTGCATACTATACTGCATAATATACTGCATACTATACTGCATTACAGTATATGATATGATACTATATTATCTTGTATTGCGTTGCATTTCAATATATTATGCTGTTTCATACTACCTGATACTATACTTTATATCATATTACTTAATGTTGCAGAAATTTATGTTGTACTATGATGGATTATGGCATATTAGCCAGTGTTATCTTCTACGACAGGTATGTCCAGTTATGCTTTTTTGTAGTCTATATTACCTTGTATTACTTTTGACTTCTTTCTAGTACGTGATGTTACATTACAGTGTCTTGTATGGTATTGTAGTGTAGTGTAACGTAACTGTTTTCATTAACTCCCGATCTAAACATGTATATGGAGTATATGTAGTATATAATAGTATATGTGTCATGTCTCCATATCTATATATGCATATCGCGTGCATTTATTTGCTTAGTGCTTTTCTACATAGGGACAGTCCACAGACTTGGTCTCCGGCCAATCCCATGTTCTTCAGAGGTTCGGTGAACTCCGAGACCCGGCTAAGTAGCCGGTCGACCTCCGAGCCCCCAAGGAATCGCCCGAAAAGAGGGGGGGCCCCCTGAAGGTCTTCGAGTTGATGTCAGACTTTCGGTCTTGAGGTTCAAGATGTGTGTTTAGGGTTTAGGGTTTAGGGTTTAGGGTTTACGGTCGACGGGATAGGGATTCAGATCAGGGTAGGATGAAGGATGAGGGGTCTACGGCTTAAGGTTTGCAGGGTGCGACGCCTCTCCAGAGTCAAACGACTCGATGATGGAGAGGCACTCCTCCGGCGATGAACAGTTTAAGATGACGAAGAATTAGAACATATGTATGTTGTTACACACACACATATACATATATATATATATACACATATATATGTATTAACGAACGGCTAAACAGATTCTAGCACACCGCCACTTGCACTGTAAAGGGAGAGCAACCTCGTACACGGCCAACTTCTCGCCCATGGCCCAGAGACTGGCGAAAGGAGCACATGGCTTGCAAGACGGGTGCTTCAAGCATTTGGTGAACATCTGCAGAAACCTGTTTTGCGAGTCCATGGTCTCCGCTATGTCGGCAAGGATTTCCACAGCGGCCAAAGAATGGAGTGATCCAATCTGGTGTTGGAGCACCTCTGGTGCAACTCGCATGGGAGGCTGGCTTCAGAGATGCACAAATCAAGCCCGCACTTCGAGCCTCTTTGGCCCAGTGAAAAGAAACCAGCGCTTCCACATCCTTCCACGTGGAAAAGGCACCAAGTTTCTAACTCAAGAAGACTACGGTCCTCGTGTCGACGACGATGCCAATGTCCCAGCTTGTAAAGGAGCTCAACACTTTCTTTCGGCCTCCAGAGCTTCGAGAAGTCCTACGGCCTTCGGGACCTTGTACTACTTTGCCTGATGTCCGAGCGCGGCTTTCGTACTCCTCTGCACGCAGCGCAGAGGCAGGGAGTCTTGCAGAATAGAGAGAGAGAGAGAGAGAGAGAGAGAGGGAGAGGGAGCGAGACAACAGCATAACTTGTGGTGAAACTCTCACTACGGGTCCTTCCTTGCCTCGGAGATCTGGGAGGAATCGCCTGCGTGCATGGGCATATCCGAGCAACTGTAATTCGCAGCCACAGCACTAGATGAACAAGGTCATGGAATAGAAAGAAGACATCCACAGCATGTCTCACTCTAAGGCCTTGCAAAAGGTTTGTTGCAGTAGTCTCAAGCCGACCCAGTCTTGTTTTCTTGCCACCCTTGTTCGAGACGTTTCAGTGAGTCAGTATAGGGCGTTTAGACGAGCTTGATCACAAATAGAGCGAGCTTCTGGCAAATGCCGAGAGGAAACGCACGAGCTGTGGGCGTGCGATACGAAAAGGCTGCATCCACACAAAAGTTGTTGTTCCACCACGCTGCCCTGATCGGTGTGCATGTGTTGGGAGCTTAGGAACGTCACGTACCGAGTTTAGTACAATGAATGCCCCAGGAATGGTCGTGAGGTCGAGTGCTTTGAGATCTTCACGTGCAGTTCCACTGGCATCTGAGATCATCCTAAAGGAAAATTGTCAGTCAGAGTTGACTGCCGCAAGTTGACACAGACGGTGATGCTGAGCAGCTTGTTGAAGACTGCGCAGCAACTTGTGTGGGAGAAAGATGGTTCGAGTGAAGCCTGTATCATGAGCACAGCCTCGACAGTGAGCTGATACCTAGGGCAGGCCCCTCAGCCGAGGCTGAAATCCACAGTTGGCGTCCGCAAGGGACAAACGAGACTCCACAAGCTCTTGGATTACTTTGCAGGCTTTTTTAGACACGCGCTGAGAAGCGATAACGCACTACAAAACGGAAGATGACGTCAGCAAGTGACGACGTCAGCAAGTGACATAGGATCCTGTCCGAAAGGGTGCAAGCACGGCATTATCGCAAAAAGCCAAGTGGAGATGCAAGGACTGATACAGAGAAATCAGTAGAGGCTGAATCTCTTGACAAGAAACCCAAACAGTGGCCTGGCCTGAAGGTGAGCAAAGTCAGCACCACCACGGTCGTCAGCCACAGAGGCAACACCCACCTGAATGCAGAACTGCGGTCGCAGCGTGAATTCCGATTCTACAGCTGGGTACCCAGCAACCGCGGACCCGAACGCTTTCGGCCTGCGAGAAGGAACACCCGAGCCAAAAACTGATTTAGAAGCTCGGGGCCCTGCACCTCGCGGAGCTCCGTTTTCAACGGTTCCGTTCGCTCCAGCTTTTGCTTTCGCATGGCCCATGGCCCGTGTCGGAAGCCAAGCATGGGAGCATTGAGATGCGTGCTGCAAAGTGTCAGTGCAACGGTATGGGTCCTGCGCGGACACTGCAGCTAGCTCGTTGGGTTCTTATGATGAGTCAAGGCAATCGAAAATGCCACACTGCGCCAAATGTCAGATGTTCCTAGTTGCCTCACTGTTTGAACACCGTCCTTCCCTCGCACATGCAAGCAATGCACATGCACAATATCAGAAGCTGCGCAGGGCCGCTGCAATTATGGAAGACTGGGATCTTCGTTTTTAGGCGAAAAGCATATGGGACGCAAAGCCCAGCCGCGTGCGAGAGGCGCGGACGGCAAGGCGGACGGAGCCCCTGCAAACTCACAGCAATGCCCTAACACATTGCTGCTCGATCGACTCTGCAGCGTGGCCGCGAAAGACCTGAGAGACCTTCTCGTGTTGCACAAGGAGGAGCCCCCATGTTGAAAGGCGCATTGCGAGCATGTCAAGACAAAACACCAGACATGTTCTTGCCCGACAACTCCAGAGCTTCGAATAACAAGACTGTGTCGGGCACACAGGCGATCACATCTGGTGTCCCTTGAGATCTGCACTAAACTTATGGCAGGTGGTGAAGGGCCTGCCTGCTCTCTCTTCGCACTTTCGTTACTGTGGCAGTAGCACTTTGGCTTGCAGCAAGGTTGAGTATGCAGAAGATTTCCGAAAAGCAGCCCCTTCAGTCTCTCGACATGGCCCATCAGTCTTCTCAGCTCAGTCGCACAAGCTCCTGAGCGGCTCTGCCAACAAATCGCACTGATACTGCGACAGCACCCAATGGCGGCAACATGAGCATGTCGGTCCTTCAGAGTAGAGAAACCCAGCGGCAGGGTGTCAAATCTTTCTTGCCTGGCATATGACGAGGACGTGGGCAGCCGCCTGAAAAACCCCAGAATCTCTGCCTGCTCTCCCCGAGGGCAGTCTGCCACTCTGTGTTCAAAACCACCTCTAAAAGGGGCATGGCACTCGCAGCTTGACATCTTCACGGACTGAGAAGCCCGCCGTTGGCCCTTCATCTCTTTGAAGGCTTCTTGATCTCAGCAAGACCAGACGCTGGCCAGGGACCCCAATGCATCGTCACAACATCGGTGGGACCCGCCCGGCTTGCCTACATAGGATGATCTCTGCCAAGAAGTTAACAGCTGAGCTAGTGTAGCCGAGACACCACGGCCTTTGCTTTGGCCTCATCAGAAACGACAAGAGGCCTTGAAACGGCATCTAATCGCAATCTTTTCTAACGATGCATCGTGCAGTGCCTCTGTCGGTTGTGAGACTTGTCCCGATTTAAAGTGCATAGACTGCAAGAGACTGCTTCATTCTGGTTGGAAGCCTCGCACAGCATGGCCATCGCTCTGGTCGTCGACTCGTCATATGGTCCAAGGCCACGGCCACAGCTTCGAAGGCTATCGAAGGCTATCGAAGGCTCGGAGTGGAGCTGCTTCGACTGGACTGCAGGATTGTGTCGACACAGTGGGAGTCCCAGCGGTTAAAGGGGCCGGTCCCTGTGTCCGGATGATGTCCTGCTCAACGACCCAGAGATACCCGTACCTCCGGTCCCAGAGCGCGAAGGGGATCGGGGTCCTCGTTCTCCAACTGATACATCACTCCGCGCTCCACAGGACGAGCTCCGCTGTCGTTCCACGATGGCAGCACGCATGTACCTCGGAGCCCTCAGAGAGCCTAAGCTTCCGAGGCTTCCAACTCCAGCTCCATCATCCCAATGCCCACGCATGGGTTTCTGCGGGGAAACCCGCTTGGCACGCTGTGAGACACTGGTGGATACGGAGGAGCATCTGTCACTCTCGTCAATACCATCAACACGGCTGTAAGCAAAGCTACAGCGGCACACAGGACAGAGGCCTTCAACCCAATAGGGCATGAGGCACTCAATAAGGAAGACATGATCGCATCGGCGAGGCCTGACACGCATCGCACCAGGAGGTATGCTGTGTCCAGATGCGCAGCAAGCATCAAACTTGTCACTCGCAAAAACTACCACATCTCCAAGAGATTGAAGTCGTGTTTTTAAGGCGTGTCGCGTCTCGTCATCAAGGGGGCCTAGCGAGGCAAACTGGGATTGCTCCGCCCTCTGCGGCGCTGAATCAGCACTCCGCAAATTCCGCAGTGGACTCCCCGCGTCCGACTGTTTGGGGCCTCCATTGGATTTCGCAGCATTGGAGGAGTCGGAAAGGCGCAGCATGCTGTCTGATAGGGACTGAGCACGTGAGAAGAGGTCAGCGTGGACCTGCTGAAACTCACGGACCAACTTCTCCAGCTCCATGGTCTTGGCGACGACTTCCCGTTTCAGCCCCGTGGCATCTGCCGCACTCGAGGAACTTCGAAGCTGGAGCTGTGAGAGTTGAGCCTGCAGCAGCTTGTTCTGACCTCGGACTGCCAAAAAGAAACCAGAAGCCAAAGGAAAAAGCCCTTCGTCGTACTATACTGTATACGAGGAGTCTGGCTACTAAGGTCTCTTTGAGAGTGGCCCTGGGCTGTGATCACTTGCTCTGTGAGGTCGGCGACCCGGCTCCGCCTCCGCTGCTGCTCCTCTCGGATCTGCTCCCGCAATCCTTCAGCCTCTCGACCCAGCCGCTCGAGTTCCAAACTCCTGAGCAGAAATCCCCATCCCCCTCTCCCGAAAGCCCCGCAGTCTCGCAGTGCCCGGTTTTACGCTCAAGGTCCTGTGCCGCAGGTCATCGGACAAACGGACGTTCTCCTCTTCCAAGATCTCCTCGCTTTGCTGAGCGGCCCAGCCGCCAGGGCCGCCAGGGGCCATCGAGTTGGCCGCCGAGTAGGCGCGGCGAGCCGCCTGCTCGCGGCTCCAGCCATTGCCCTCGGAAGGCCGTCCTTGCCCTGCGGTGTGAAGGGCGTGCGAGGAAGGCGGGTCTGTGGGCAACATGGCTGCAAAGACAGAAAATCGGAGCAGAAAAACAACACAAAGCCTCCCAAACTTCCTGCAGCAAAAGCCTGAGCATCAAGAACGCTTGGCGGTGTGCCTTGGCTTTCGCCTTAGCCTTTGGAGCGGCCTTGGCTTTAGCCTTCGCCTTTGCTTTCGCCTTTGCCTTGGCCTTGGCTGTTGCCTTTGGCGCTGCCTGGCTTCAAGTTCTTACTTCGAGCGTCTTAACAGAAAGCATCCACGGCGCCTTGGCCTTAGCTTTTGCTTTGGCTTTTGCCTTGGCCTTGGGGGTGGCCTCAGGAAGACTCCCGTAGGCTGGCATCCAGTGCAATCGAGACAAATTGCTGGCAAGGGTCCTTAGCTTTGGCCTTTGCTTTGGCCTTCGCCTTGGCTTTCGGAGATCCCGATGCCTGCCAGAACCCTCGCGCTTCAGACTTCCAAGACCGGCCCACCCCACCTTCGTCTGTTCCTCGTCTTCTGCATCCTCTTCAACATCGCCGTCCTCCATCAATACACCACCACTGCCGACACATTGCAAATGCGGATCGCAATTATTACAAGCATCCTTATCACAACAGCACCTCCATCTCGTCATCGTCTTCGATCCTCATTTCTTTCACCTGCTCCGGTGTCAGGTGCTCCTTGGCAGCCACATACTGGACTATCATTCTCCAACAAGCACCTGACACACCTGCCTTCCTTGCAGCCTGCTAGCTTGCGTGTCAGCAATGTCAGCACAGGCTCAAGGTCGCCATCCTCATACTTTATTCGGTACAGTCCTTGGCAAGACACCCACTTGACAAACACGCAAAGGGACTTCCCATGCACAGGTTTGTCAAAACGTCTGCACTTGCAAGTCGGCACAACTCCAATGCAACAGAGCAGCTTTCGTGAGTGACCTTGCCCTGCTCAATGTCCTCCACGTAACCTGTGAATGCCTTTCCATTCACCTCGCGCCGGATCCTTGCATGTCGAAGGGGGTCCACCTCCGTCAAAACACGACACTCTGCAAGGCTGTGCAAGATACGCTTATATCGAATAACTATCTTGTCTTTGTCTGGCCTCCTTCTCGGTCTCAGGCAGATCTTCCAACTCCTCCTCCATCTCTTCTTCCTAAACAGGCACACAGTTCAGGAAATCTGTCAGCGGGTAGTTTGATAAAAATATCTAATCTTGGCTTCAACCGTGCATGCATCAGCGCTTCGGCCGAATCGAAAGCATCGGGACCCTGACTTCAGGAACGTGCCCCGCCGGGATCGCGGCCATGGCCTGGCATCGGCACAACACTCTCCCAACGGCAGAGCCTTGGGTTGTCTAAGGCCGAACTCACGGTACATGTACATAGACATATACATACACATACACATATACATACATATAGCCACATATATATATATATACACATACATACATATATACATGTTTACATTTTTCACATAAATGCCTGTATACATATATACAAATATACATATACACATGCACGTACACACATACGCACGTACACATACATACACAATCACCTTTACCTATATTACCTGTACATATACATAAACGTATACATAACCTCTACATATACGTATACTTATACATATACAAATACGTTTACATATGCATACAAGTACACATGCACATGTACATGTACACATTCCTACACGTGCACACGCACATACACACACACACACACTCATGCACATGCACATGCACATGCACATCTACATCTACATCAACATCTGCATCAACATTTACACCCACAGAAACACACACATATACATATACAGAGTCATTGACAGAGACGTAGACAACGAGGCACACGACATATATACATGTACTGATACGAACTTACCTATGTCTGCGTGTGCATGTGCCTTCTTTGCAATTCTCTGTGTACTCACCTATCTTGCTGACATGTCCGGCCCTACCCCGACATGCATCTGTCCCGCTTCCGTGTCATGCTCCATATGTCCGCATAATGCACGTGCATGTGCAAAGGTGCATCTGTCTGCTTGACTGTCCATCTACACACATACATTGACCTGTCTGACTGAGGCATCGGCGAATTGGATGCTCTGGGCCACAGTGTGACTTTGCCTCCTGCTTGAACCGTGACAGCGCCAGCAGACATTACTTCGAATTCGCAAAAAGGTCACCGTCGCACGTCCTTTACAAGCAGCAACACCTCAACTACACTTGCAAACCGTATGATCACTACTGCCTCTTTTATCTTCTACATGAGGTTGACAAACACTGGAGCAGCAATCACAGCATCTTGCCAATGGAACGTCTTCATCATTAGCACAGCACGTGTTGCATCAGTCGTGTGGGTGCAGACTTGACTTGTCAATTTTCACTGTAGCAACACATAAAGACACTTTGGCACACTTAAATTCGGCAGATACATGCTCTCGTTTCAACATCTGCTTTGGATTTCTCCAAACTTTTCATCTTCGACCAGGATCCGGCTTATCTCAACCCTCAAGAAGCTGGACTAAGAGTCAAACAGGATGCCGATGCTGTCCAGCGCTTTCATCTTCTTTGAATATGCATAACGTAAACCGCACTCTTGATCATAGGTTTGCCGACAATTTTGCAATTTTTTGCTGTTTGAATCTGAGAACGCAACATTTCCAATTCGAGCGAAACACCATCAGCAAGCAGCTGCATGCTGCGACATCTTGGGTTTTTTTTGGCGTGAGCAGGCCTTCGACGGCGGTTGCGGCACTTGGTCAATCAACAAAAACAACAATGAACTAAACAAAAACTTATCATCGGTGAAACGAGCTGCGACCAACAGGCTTCGCCGGCAAGAGTCGTTCAGCAATTAAATTACCCGTCTCATATCCACATCGGCCCAGATGCCCCGCTTTCCAGATTTCAGAGTTGCGCAATGGCAAGCACATAGCGGCACATCAAGGCATAGTAAGACCGCAGGGCATCTAAAAGTAATTGTGCTAAAAGGAGATGAACCTTTCCGACAGATTACATTGGACAGACCAAAAGATCATTTGACCAAGTTCGTAACTCTATGCTGGAACCTCTCTCTGGGGAGGGTGTTGTCAGCTCCTGCTCTGTGGTAGTTACAAGCCTGGTTTCGAGACATAGGGTAGAATTCGTTTCTTTGAGGTCTGTCGATTATGCGAGCTGGAGGGCGTAGGATTCGCAATCTTAGGGGCTCTAAAGTGCTTGCAAACTGGGCGCGCCGCTTCGTGGGCACTTCGCGAGCTTCGGAGCCGTTAGGGTGCGAGCCGGCGCGTTCTGGAGTAGTTCGACGGGCGTGTGACGCGTGCGCAAGCGCGCGAGCCTGTCGGCGTGGCAGTGCGGGAGCGGTGGCTCCGCCTGCCGGGAGTAGAAGCTTGTCGGAAAAGCTCGCCGGGGATTGAGGCCGGGAGCTCGGGAGTCTGTTGGGAAAGCAGTCGGGAATCTGTTGGAAAAGCGGCTCCGGAACTTGCCGGGGATTGAGGCCGGGAGCAGCTCGGGAGTCTGTTGGGAAAGCGGCCGGGAGCTCGGGAGTCTGTTGGGAAAGCGGTCGGGAACTTGCCCCGCCAACTGCTCGGAAGTCTGTTAGGAAAGCGGTTGGAGCCGTTACGTAACGTTCCGGCACGTTCCGGAGCTGTTCGCCGCGACAAACCGACTCTGGAACTTTTTTTGCAAGCACTTTAGAAGGGGCTCCAAGCCCCAGAATCGACAGTGCGAGGGGACACCCGAGAGAGCACTGCTGGTGGGGGCAGGGCAGTTGGTGAAGGCATCTGGTGGGGGCACTTGGTGAGGGCAGGGCGCCTGGTGAGGGCATCTTGCAGGCTGCAG